CTCCAATGTGACCAATTTGACTCCACCCTATCTGTAGCTCGACCATTCAAAAATGGTTGGCAGAAAGGAAATTTTCGATCAGCTGGAAAAATCGAGTAGCGTTCTAGCCTACGCAAAAACTAATCAATTTTATGATTATGACTTCCACTGCAAACTTGCTGACGTAATCCCCTTCCTGCATCACTTTCTGAGTAAAACTTTTAGCTTCATCTCGACTAACTTCTATTACAACAGTTTAATTTAGATTCGCCGCCTCAGTGAAGGTGTGAACTTTGGATGCAATGGCGTAATGAGTACAGAAATCGACGGAAGACGTCCTGACCATTCTGTGCTTCTTCCAGAAATACTAAACTGCGACTACTTCACGCAGCAAATAGCGTTTCTCTGAATAAAACTTGCCTAAGCAAATTTTCTTGTTCAAATCAGAATCACAATGAAGCAGGGTGTCAAGCAAATTTGACAAGAGCGCTTCTCCCCCCCCCTCTCCTCAAGCCATCCCAAGGCTTTCTCGGTTGTGGATGAACTGAGCGACGTTTATATAAGTTATGTGTAAGCAGGGTTAACCGTCACGTTGGACAAATTCGAGAATTTTACGAACCCCCTCCTTTTGGGGAGTCTCGATACGACCCCCCCCCCAAACACTTATTATGTACTGTACACTTGGTAATTGTGGCGTGTTTGCGTACTACTTCGTACTAATTATTTCCAGCGTCACACCAGACGCTTTCGCGTCCGCGCACGTTCGCATTGGCGCGCACAATTTTCCGTCGGCCCAGCTCGGAAATGCGGGTACCCCCAGGAGGCCCGTCGCGCGGCAAGAAGGCAGAGTCGGCGGACGAGTTGCAGCGCGTGGTGTGCGATGTAGGACGTGCAGTGGGACACTCTATTTAACTTGACGCGAAATCCCTATAGTACGCGCGCGACTCGTCCGCTGACTTTGCCCTTCTTGCCGCGCGGGCTCTGGGACGTACCTTTGGATGATGACCTACCTTTTTGGGAAATGCGCTCAGAACTACAAAAATACCTTGGGTAAGTCACAAAGATAGCTGACTGCTTGGAACAGCACATCTTCGAAATTTCTCCGATATCCGCAGGAAGTTATCAATTTTAATGCTTTTCTACAAACGCGCAAACATTTCTGGAGATCCAAGCGTTTTAGTTCTATTGGTGGTTCTCACCCCATATGAACTTTCACGCCACATTTTGACCATTTTTAGGTAGCTTCTCCCATGGTGTATACAAATCCTATCCCAATTTTTTATCCTTCGGGGACAAGGAGAGCCAGAGTCCCACTTCGTTTGGTCTGAGGCATCCAGGAAACGGTAATCGCACTGAGGGGGGGGGTGATGACTTTGTGGCCAAAACTTTGGCCTCGCCATACTCTCGTCATAGTAGCCAAACTATTTGCCCATAAGAATCTTTGCCAATATTGATAAGAACTATGGTGAAATAGTCAACGCCGAATGTCGAAAGGAGAGAACTGTAGCCTTTATCATCTGCTCTCGATTTTTTTTATGGCAGCAGTAGAGCAGTGCCATTTTTTGGCCTTGCAATGGCCTCATTCAGTATCGAATTTATCACTTCAATTACTTACCTGGCTGTAGTGCTTCAGAAACCGGCCAAGGGTTTTGGACACTTTTTCTTCTAATGACATTTTGTCGTCTTTTTCGAAAGTTCTTAACGAACAGCATTATTTGGCAAAAAAAGTAGGCAGAGGCACCTCTGGAAACATACCTTGTACCGTTGATTGCAAGATAAGGTGCACCAGGCTTCATCACACTTCCTGGCACAAGTACTTCATCCAGAGCCTGATTCGACATGAAATCATTCCATATCTGTAGAAAATACCGTACTTTTGAATAACATCGTAGGATTACTGTTAACAATTTTTAGGGGCGGAAGTGGTGTAGTGGCAAGTGGCACGCTTACCACGCGAGCGGTCCGGGGATCAAATCCTGGGTCGTGAGTCGCCCGGGCCAACCAAGCCTTCCATCCCTCCGGGGTCGGTTAATTGGTACCAGACTTGTCTGGGAGGATAAAAACACTGACTTGTACATCGGCTGGCCCCCGCAAGTCATTGTATAGGCCACATCGCATTCAAACGCCACTACGAATGTACAAATGGAAGTAGAATGCGTGCC